ATAAACTCCTTTGCTGAGTTGCGTGACCTGCTTGAAGAATTGATGCATACAAGGGAGCGAGCTTCTGAGGCTGTCGCACGACACCTGCAAACACAAAACGTGATGTTGTGCTGCGAGTCATAGTATTGGAATCGGTCCGTGCTTGAATGCATTGGAGATTGGTTGCGTCAAGAGGTGATTGCTCCTGCTCCATTTTGTTGTGGAGCATTATTTTATGGTCTCACGCTTCCAGCGTTGGGCACCATTTCTTAGTTGGCTTGCTTTTCGACATTTGATTCCTTTTGGTTTGTGCCCATTCATGCGAATAATTAACCCTAAACCCCTGTAAGCCTTTGAACTACCCCAGTAGACATATCAGACGCTTCTGCGACAAGACCACTCGATGAGACTCGTACGCGCCATGCGTGCCCTGAAGACCAATTCAGATGCGTCCAAAGTGGTTTCCCAAAATCAGGTGTACTTTTTTGGGCGCCTCTCATAAGGAGTAATGTATTCTCGGGTCTATAGTTCGGTCCCCCGATTTAGGGAGACTACACTTCTTGCTAGCCTGATTGATGAACCCAATCCTAATTGTATCGTCCAGGTTCCTAGTTCCAGACCTACCTCTCAAACCCCAATCAACCCCCCAAATCCCAAATGAGCTGCAGCCTAAACCCCTAGTATCCCCCTTAGTATCCCCTCTCATACTCCCCCACATACTCCCCCATAAAACACCCTTTAAGGGGTTTAGATTATAACTCAAATGAGCTCTCACCCTTAGACCAGCAACCCCATAGCCTCCTATATTCCCCAGAACCACTATATTGCGCCTAGAAGCCCTATTTTTCCCTATGGTTTCCATTTTCTTTTCCATTATCCCCATTCCCTATAGAGCTCCTCATCCCGGGAGCCCCAACTCAACTCTAAACCCACCAAACCTGGATAGGTTTATGGGTTTAGGGTTTAGGACCAGTCCCTGAAGCCATTAGATTAGGTTCGTCACCGACGAGAGAAGCATCCCAAGTGCTACAAGTGAGTCTTGGCTTCTTAGGGTTTTGTTGTTAGGGTTGATGGCTTTTAGGACTTTAGGGTTTAAGGGTTTGGGGGTTGTTTGTTTTGGAGTTTAGGGTTTAGGGTAGTAGGCCGTTGTGTGTCTTTTTTTCGCTGCGGTATGGAGAACTTCGGCCGAGGATGAGCTTTACACGGGGATCCCATAAAATGATGGCGTCTTCCATTTCTCAGGACCACCAGAATGCCCAAAATCAGGGATAGTAAGATTATGCTTTCCTCCAGACTCGCGCACTATCTGCGCAACATCCGATGGAGTTTAGCAACTGACCAGACTGAGACGCGCTGCCAAGGTGATGAGTGCGATTTTGTTGCCAAGAAGTTAGATCAGCTGAAGCATCACAAAAACATGGTCCACCGCCAGGTCTGACTCTCAGATTCTCTCGGGATCACTTTCGAAGCAGGAAGATCTTTCTGAGGCTCTGAGTATGTGAGGGGAGTACCTGGGTGTTACCTCGTATATGTTGGGGGACCTTGAGCTTCAGACATGCCCAAAGCCTGCAGATTTTAAACCTGAGAACCCAGCTCAATCAGGTTTCTACACTATCCTTGCTAGGCAGCAGGTTCGCGCCCGTCGCCTGATCTGATCTCAACTTCGGGCGTGGCTCACAAGATAGATAGGATGCATGTAGATGGCAAGCCAGCAAGCCAGTCTAGCAAGGTTTCAGCAGCTAGCAAGGACAACAGATTCATTATTTCACTACTCTGCATGCCATGAGTCAGCTTGTAAGCAAGCAGCCAACCTTGCCACAGCCGCGGCAGTTAGGGTTGAATGTGTCAGCCTAAACAAGGAGAGACATGTGGTTGGCTTCAGAAAACTTGGTCATGGTAGGCGGGGCTGTATACCGGCATTCCTTGCATCAGGAGCATTTTTCCATTAAGCCCAAGCCCTACAACAGAGCCTGGTTCATGAATGGGGGGTTGGGAATGCCTTGCGTTTCGGCGGATTCGGCCATGGCCACCGCTTCACATCACCCACTGAGGACGGAGTTTCCTGTTGAGGGGATTTGGGGCTCTTTGCTGGGGGTTCAAGAAAAAGCCTGGGGTTGAAGTTTTTAAGAGATGTTCTGTGACGATGTGTGGATTGCAGAGGTATTTTGTAATCAACAGCTTGTAGGAGCCTTTAGACACGAAGAGGACATGAAGGCTTTGTGGTTGGGATTTGGTGCGCAAGGCCCCGCAAAAAATGATGGCGGAAATAAACAAGCACCATCGGGCTATGGAAGCTTTCGACTCTCACCGCCCCACACCTTGCACCCAACAGCCTAAACTTGCACCCAACAGCCAAAAGGGCCAAAATCCTAAAACCCAAGCACCTTACCCTGAACTGTAGACCCTTTATTGCCTGGAGTCCCCGAAACCCCCTACGGCCCCGGAAAGACCCCAAACCCAGAAGCTTCAACTCTAAGTCCCAAGGTGATCTCAACTCCCCAAAGTTCAGCCCTCCAAAACCCTAAGACCTTAAGAGCCCGTACCATTATATAGGATTTTTTATATAGGCTTCTATTGGGGTTCTATAGGAGTTACATAGAGGTTATATAGGGATAATGGAAAAGAAAATGGAAGCCACATATTATTTGAATATCTAAGAGCCCTGCTTTGCAGGTGATGGCGGAGAGAGGTTCCAGGAGTTCGCGCGGCAGCAGACGGTCCAGTTGCTCGGCCTCACCTCCGCGAAGTTCAAAACGCATTGCACGAGGATTCCAACTGCTACAAACCCCTAGGTCCTCTATATGGGGGGAATATAGGGGGATTTTACGGCAATCGTGGAGAACCCCTTGGAAAGTCAATGGACAATGAAACGGAAAGGGTTGAACAAGAGGTTGCATAGAAAGCCTTGCCTAGAGGACAGTGACAGCAAACTTGCTAGAACAAGCTTTAACTCCAGAGCCACAATCCTCGACCCTAATAACCCTGAACCCTACACTCAGGCCAAGTGTGCTAAGGCCGGGAGACCTCTTCGGCGACGAGCGATGATGATGCCTCAGCGGCTTATCTCAAAATGGGCTGTGACAATGGCAGTCTGACCTACTTGGCGGGATCCATCACCCCAAGTAACGGCTGTTTTCAATGGGCTTCGCGACCGAACTCTACACCCCAAGCCGAGCATCCTTATCCTTGCCCTACATCCTGAGCCTGAAGCCCTAAGGCAACATCCCTCGCCCTAACTTGGTGTCTGTGCTTGTTGAGAGAGAGCTTTGAAGCTGAAGGAAGCTTAGGATATTCCATTGACAAAGCATATTAAATCACACCGCACCGTGGCAAACTAGAGGCTATGCAATCCCAAGTAGAAAGAATGGTATGGCACATATCTTGGAAGCCCCACTCCCTGAACTTGCTTTCTTTCAAATAGTATGTTCCCAAGCGGCCAACACACATTAAAG